CGAAGGGCTGTTATGTAGGTCTCTGTATTCAAGACCATTACTCTCTAGGATAATATACCTTACTTAAACTAGTCCTTATACTGCATTATACAAACCTTCATAATGCATTATAATGCATTCATAAAGTATTATAAACATGGCTATAACTATTTATAAAAAGGCATAACACATTAAATGTACACATCATGTGTATAATGCATTATGAATGCTCCATGAAGGGCTAATCTATAAAGCTCTAAGGACCTTCATAATGCAGCACAAAGCATCCTTAATGCTTATACTGGCCATCACAATGTATTATGAAGGTGTTTAGAGTGCATTAAAAGATGAGAGCTTCATAAAGCATTCATAATGTATGAGAAAATGATCATAATTTTTTATGCCATTTAATAAATATTTATTGCTGTGTTTATAATACTTTATGAATGCATTGTAATACATTATGAAGGTATCTTTAATACATTATAAAAGAGGGCATCATAGAAAGTGTTACCCTTTCTAGTATGTGTATAATTCTGTCAGCAAGCCTGAGTGCATCTAGTTGCTCAGCTGATTCAAATTGAAGGAAACTCTCAGGGACAGCTACTGAAATAGTATCTGAGTACCAGAGATATCTGTTCATTTTTAACATCTTTTGGTTTGTCAGCCAATCAGTTCATCTATAAATTGTTTTTGAAGCATGTCTGGCAAACAGTACCTCATTCTGAATTACTTTGCTGGTGTATTTTGCATTATGAGTAGAAGGAAACCTTTTTTTCATAGTTTTTTCATGCTTAGCAACTGTCTGCAAAATCACCATGAAATTTCTTTTATTATCTGATTGTGCTGACCCAGGGCGTAACTTTGGCTGGAACATTGGGGGGGTCAAGGTCTCCACCCATTACAGGGGAAGCATGATTATTGGGGGGGTTATATTGGCTGGATCTGATTATTGGGGGGGTCATGACCCCCCTAACCCCCCTGGAAATTACACCTATGGTGCTGACTCATCATGTCCTCTTTGTGCAATGTTTTGTGTGGCTGTAAGTAATACTACTTCACTTGATGTTTTAATATAATTTAGCTTTTCTTTAACTTGTTTCTTGTGTTCTTTGTTTTGGACATTTTGCAGTGTTGCAGTATTTTTTACAGCTAAATGATAATCCATGCAGTCATTGGCTGTTGGTGCCATTCAGACTTTGGATGCACTGCAAATCCTCCCTCTTTGCAAGTTGCTTTTTCTGTTTGTTAAATCCAAATAGATAGAGAGTCAAACACAGTCTCTGAGCTTTTGGGAGGACGAAAGTGTCTGCAGGTGCAACAATATGTGGAGTCCAAATTATTTGAGTATTCAAGGCAGGGGTGAATATTGTGCTAGGCCACCTTGAAACGTCTTCTTCTGTCTCCCATCAGAGTCCTTGGCTAAAGATTCAAAACAGGCTGTATTAGTGGATCATCTATACATTTGCTGATATCTACAAATTAAGAAAAAAAAACGCTAAGAAAAATCAGCCAAGAACTTCCTGCAATACACATTCTTATATCGATATAAAACTGTTGTTGTGTGACATATGGACTGTTTTCAGTTACAAATCTACACATCACTTCAGTGTGTCAGAGAACATCTCAGTCTCACAAACCTGATGATGTAGTGCTAGTGGATGCATATTGCTCCTCTGCAGGACAACACAGTGCGACAGTTTTAGATGTGAATGCTACAATAGACATAAACAACCAAAGTGGTGCTTTAGAGTCTCGTCATCACTAACCTATAATAGATAAAGACCAATGAGTTCATTAGGGCCCGCTGGCTTATATGTCTAATGGTAAATGTATGAGGCTATAAAGTTTATACAACAGTAAAAGCGACAAGGATGAAAAGATACTTTCCATTTGTTAATATCACAAAGAAGCAAGGAAGATGAGTCCCCCTCCCTATCCAACATAAACCTGGTTAGCGCTACTAGTGTTGCATCACCTGAGGGGGCAGCCCCTGCCAAGCTTTATCATCTAACACAAAAACATCCCAGTTTAACTCATAGTATCTAAAAGAATTCCCATGGCCTTTTTACAATCAGTCCAAAAAGGTCATGTTCTGCAGGTACTGTAAACGGTGGGAGAACTGTTGACAGGCAAAACGTTGTACATAACTGGAAACCAGATTGTAAAAAGGGATAACGTATATAAGCATAGACTTAAAAAACACATTGTATGTCGAGATTCTTATATTGCCAAGAATCAGCCAAGCCACCATGGAACTGTGACCGCTACTATGAACAGCAAAAAAAATAAACTTAATGAGGAGGTTCTTAATGACATAAAAATCAATATGAACATTGCATACTGTATGCATGCAATGGCATAAACATTAATCCAACGCATGACAACCATACACATTGTGCAGAAATGACTGACTAAATAGCCAACAGAATGAAAGGAGCACTTGTCACAAAAGTTTGTCAGTAGCCAGACCACTGCAATTCAGACTAGGTAATCCACCTAATCCTTGCATTTAATTTTACTGCATTGCTTTTACTTTTACTCTATTGCTTTTAATTTTCCAGCTTAGGGTTTCTAACCCTATTTTTCTAACGTAAGCAAAAACAATAGAGAAAAACATTAATTTTCTTATTCTTTTATTTTTAATTTCTTTTCATTATTTTTATTTGTATTTATTTCACTTTCTTATTCAACATTTATTTCCTTATTCTTTTACAGATTTATCCTTTTTATGGCTCTCCTGTGACTCCGTAGTTTCTAGCTATTGAAAAGATCAGGGGCAAGTCAAGTTTGCCTGGGGCTTGACTTTCTCTTTTTGATTTTTTTTTGTTTTTTTTTTTAAAGAAAGCCTAGCATTGGGACTAAATTACTTGGAGCTATAGCTCCGAGTGAGTAATTGGACCTAACAACACCCATGCAGTCAGCCCTGCTCTGTCGAGAAGTGTCAGGCTGCGGATCCACTGTGAGGAAGATCCACAGAAGACCGGACTTCACTGTGGTGTCAATAGAGCTTTCTTATTTTAAATTCAGTATGTCATATTTTTTGCTATGTTTTAACTGATAATCTACACTATTTAAAAAGTTGTTTTTACACTTATCGTTTATTATGTTGGATGCATGGAAAAACAACATCCTCTGTCAATTAATTTTTGAGTTTTAAATTGCGTTGTAACAGTGAAAGATTGTTAAAATGAAGACATTTCTTTCTTTGATTATGCCAGTGTGATATGTCTAACTTAACTTTCTCTGAAATAATGCTAAATCTTAGCGGTAGCGGTTAAAATAAACAAGTGCTACTCCAATGGCTGCCTGGTGCATTGTTATTACTTCTCTGTTAACACAGTACTTTAACAGCTATTGGAATATCTTGTTTACTGTTGATCAGTTGTGATTACAGTGTTCATGTGCATTTATTATTTATACCACTTATATTGGAATGTAACAATCACCCACTTATAACTGGTAAGATGACATTCAACCTTATAGCATACCCTAAGTTTATTACAACTGCATGACCATAATGGGTTTTTTTACTTTCATATTCATTTGGCTTTGAAAAAGAATGTCTTCCTGTCCAATAAATGTAATTTATGTATGTTTCAGTTGTTAGCCAAATGTCAGTGTCACTGTAGGTAACAATAATAATAATCTATACTTTATTATTCCCTGTGGGGAAATTGTCTTTACACCTCCTCTAACTTGCTCTTGTAGTAAGCTGGCTGCAAAGGGCAGCCACCTGTTGCAGTGCCCAGGGAGATGGCAATTAAGGGCCTTGCTAAAATACTTGCAGATGTGCTGAGGCCAGATTCAAACTGGCAACCTTCCAATCACAGGCACACAGGCCTAACCCACTGAGCCACATGCTGCCCCTAGATTATAAAGGGGAGCCATTTTACACTCTCGGACAGACCAAAAACAGGGTTTTAACTGTTGAGTTCACCATGTGACAACTTCACATGAATGAACGGGCTAAAGTGTTTTTGATAATAATGTAAACTCACCTTGTGCTGGGCAAATGCGGCATTACACATAGGACATCTGGACTCATATTGTAAACCCCTACACTTGGATATATTATGTAACTCATTGTTATGTAGCAATGTCAATATCTTCGAAACACACACACACACACGGCTGTATTTCTGCTTACCAGATTATCAGATACAAAGTGCATAACTGCTGATATATTGCATTACAAGTGGTATAAACAATAAATGCACATGTACATTATAATCACAACTGAGCAACAGTAAACCCGTAATCCCAATTGAGCTCTAAAATTACAGTACTGTGTCAGTAACAGAGTAATCGCAACAAACATCACAGACATCACAGTACTGCTTGTTTATCTCTTAACCCATGCATGATGTCATAGGGGCATGCCCCCCCTGCCCTCCCCAGAACCATCACCATAAGCTGGCAAAGCAGTTTAACTGCACCATGATCCTTTGTGCATGGAACTCTCTTTACACCATTCTTTCAAGAAATTATATATCTTGGTGGTTTCTGGTGCTCTGTTGTCTCCTTAGGTTTTCAGATAGGTTCAAGTCCAGAGATTAAGTCAACCACAGTATTAAGACTGTATCATTTGCTCATGCTCATCAGATCATTCAGTTACTGCTCATGACCTGTGAATTTTCAGACTGGAAGATTCCTGCAGGACAGAAATGCTTCACTGTTTTGTTTCAGGTGGCCTCTGGGGGTTTGAGTAGACATAAAGCATGTAAAAAAAACAACAAAAAAACCTGCACTCCACACCCACAGACCTGCCAGAACCACTCTGTGTGGCAAACAGACACTCAAGCCTTTAGGCGTCTTTGGCTGCATATTAGACATGTCTGCTTTTTTAGAACGGGATGAAGGGCAAATTGTCCTCTGACTATATTATTCTTTCCACTGCGCAACAGACCAATGCCTGTGTTTTTTACAAAAGTACATTTTTTACATTATGATGATCGCCATATATAACAACAAAAAAGTTTTTGGTGTTGTTCATACGGATATTTGTGGATAATAGCACTAAATTATCCGATAGTGTAGCACTAGAACGTAAAACAGAATTTGTGTTATTGTGAAATTTCTAATGCATAGCCAGTGAACTGTACTACAGGTAAGTGATGGCATTTTTCAATATTCCAGCAGTCTAAACCTGAGTTATTTACATCTATCTGGGTTGACATTATAGGATTAACTTAGTCCAAACTACAATCACCTCCTCAAGGTTAATATTTAACAATAATAACAGATTGATTATTGCTACATGGAATGTGATAGCACAGAAACAGACTAATAAAAAGTGTGACTACTCTCCCATTGTGTAATTTTGCATTAATGCAAGTTACAAGTTTGCTGTGTTCGTGTGCTGCGATAACATCACAAAATAGTACCTTTTTTGTACACTATTCATTGACTAGTAAAATGTAAATATATTCGACATACTATACCAAAGTGTATATATATTTAAGCGACAAATGCAGTACGTCTTAATTACCTGTGTGTCTACCCACATAGCCCTCCCCTGTTTCACTCTTTATATATATGTCCGTGTGTGGCAAGAAAAGATAAGGATTTAGTTCTGCACAAATCAGAGGCAATGAAGTTTAAAGTCCTCATCTGTTTCTGCCTTTTGACTGTAATAAAACATGGTAGGTACTATTTAATCATGCTTTCTTTGCAAATTACTATTAAATATTCATTATATATGTTAAAAGTTTAGATTTTCAGCTGATTTTCATAGTATAGATGCAATTATTGTGTTTTGACACTGTCCGCTGTACAACTCGAGTAGCAGTAAAATTTTACATATATTGAGCAATGAAAATGTATTTAGAATGTATTTTGTTTCATAAGTGTGAATTTATCACTATAAACACAACATTTCTGCAGAAGTAAACTTTTGGGTTACACTTTGGAGGTAAGGAAATGGGCTGCTGATATTTTACCTTTTTGTTCTTGTCTGTTCTTGTGGGATTGTGACACACTGTTAGTTTTACAGAGAAAGCTTGTTGATGGAATTTCCATAAAATACTTACACAAACCTGCCTGAATCTTTTGCTCTGATTACTGTTGCCAGTGACATGATAATTAGCTGTTCAGTACATCTCTGTCTTTTCATTAGACACACATCGTGGGCTGTACCAGTTATTGCGTAACTGCAGTTATTGATTACATTATATATAGCATTTAAGAAATGCAGATTTCTGGAAATGTCAGGTTTTCATTAGTGTGTATGAGTCAAATATGAGGCATGAAAGAGTTACTCATAGTTATGTGTGAATATTAAAAACTACAGTAACCCTTATAATAAATAAATATTAATAAATAAATGTTATTTTAAATATATATTTTACCCCTTTCTTTTAGTTTCTTTGTCCTTTCATTGCATCCGGATACCTGCATCGTTGCAACTATTGTGACTTTAATTGCGTAGTCAGTATTGAGTCTTTTTTAATTATGCATCTTGACCAACTCCTTTTTTGCAAACAACTTTTACGCCTATTACTATAGTCACTGCTGCCAGTGTAATAGTCACTGAATCACTCCTCCAAAAGATAAAGAAAAGGAGGAAGGAGTGCTGAGAAGCTGGCCTTTTGCGGGTATTGTGGTGGCTTGCTGGATAAATCTGTGGCCTCACACCTTTAGGGTGGTGGGTTTAATTCTTGGCTCGGCTTTGTATGCGGAATTTTGCATGTTTGCATGGGTTTTACTCAAACCCACAACCTGAAAACATTTAGTTTTAATTAACTACTGTCACTAAATTGCCCCTAGCATGTGTGTGTGTATGTGCTGTAAAGATATGACATTATGCCAAGGTGTTCAGTGGTTCACACTCTGAGATTCCTGGAATAGGCTGCAGGCTGTGACAATGTATTGGAAAATCAATCATGAATGGATGTTGACCTTTTAACTTTTATTATTATCCTGACAGAGCTGTAATGCACAGTATATATTCTGCCATCAGTGGGGTTTTTCCTTTGATGTTCCACCCATCTTCTGTAACCAGATGATGTGCCATTGCAGGACACACACTCACACATAGATTATGGCTAATTTAAAGACATTTAGCAAAGACATAACTCTTTTATAATAAGTTTTTGTTATAATATTGAAGTCTGCTTCTTCCTGACAGTTTCTCTTACAGATATCTGGGCTCATCCTAATTCATCAGTACTTCTGCCCTGTAATGTTGAAGCAGATGAGATAGAGCTGAACAAAAACATCTTTCTGCTGGGAGTTAGCTGGCTCCACAATGGATCAGTAATAGCATCTTCTGGAGCAGATGGCAATCGCACTGAAGAGGGGTTCAGCTTGGAGGCTGGAACCCTTGAAACTGGGGCTTTCTCATTGACTCTGCATAGCGTCTCAGCCAGCAAGCAGGGGGAATATGTGTGTGGCATCAGCTACAACCACACTCTGCTGTATTCGGGCAGTGTAACACTATGCATTTTAGGTATGTCCTGCTCTTACATTGGTTGGACCTTTGACCATTATGTGGGAAGGTGAAGGTCACATTGCATTTTCAGCAAAAAAGACCAGTTATTAGCCTACAATCCTTGATAGTCTCAGTTTTTGATATACAGTATGTGTATTGCGAATACCTTTTTAAATGTATAGATGTCTTTCCATTATAACAGATTCATCTGATAACTGAGTTCTGTGCCTCCCTGCCAGGCCTGCCCTCTCTCTCCATTCCCTCTACGGTGGCTGTTATCGACAGGCCCAGCAGGATAGAGTGCCGGGCAGAGCATTTCACCCCCCCGCTGATTGATTTCACCTGGGTTCGAGCAGGTGTTGTGGTGAAACCCCCAGAGAGCATAACAGCAGTCAACAGAACCAGCAGTGGGTTCTTCTGGGCAGTGAGCAGCCTGACACTAACACCCACTGAGCAGGACAAGGATGTGAACTTCAGCTGTGTGGTGAAACACACCGCGTCAGAGGAACCCATTGTCTTGAACTTCCATCTCAATTTAATATGTAAGTGCCTGGATTTCTTGCACCGTGATTTATGTCTAGTTCTTGTTTTGGACTCGACTTTGTTTCTGGCCTGCTGTTACTTGTGAATGTTATCAGTTTTCATTCATTTAAAAGGGGAGATAAAAGGCTTATGCCGATGACGTCTCTTTATTTTTCCTTGCTCCTGTCAGATCTTCCTACTGTCACCCTCTCCGCCCTTCCCCTTACCTCACAATTTTCCCCTGTCACTCTCTCCTGCGATATCGAGGGATTTTACCCTGAGGAAATCTCTGTCTCCTGGTTCCAAAATGGCTCACTGGTGCCTGACATGCCGTTAGCCTGGCCTGGCCCTGGAGGTTCCTTCCGCACTCGCCGCTTCTATACTCTGAGAGCTGAAGACATGAGGAGAGGCACTGAGGTCCAGTGTGCGGTGCGGCACCCCGCTGTCGCTGAATCAGTCTCTGCCACCATGACTCTCTCTGCCACTGGTCCAAATGGTATTGGTATATCTGGGTTTCCCATATTTCAGTATCGTATTCCTCTGTTATACTTTACATACAGGCTGTTTCTCTGCAGAAGAGACACCATTATCTCTCTCCCGACAGCAAAAGAACCAGTAATGACTAAGTCTGCCAAGGCATCGGTGGCCGTTATTATCATTTCTCTGGCTATGATTTTCTTGCTCTGCTTTGGATTCTCATGGAAGAAAAGGGATGGTAGGTTTGTCCAGTCACCACCACTTCAGAGCTCCATTATTCTGTAACCCCAAAGATCTATAACTAACAAACAGATTGGTGAATTTTTAGTGAGTGTTTAAGCACTGCAGCCTCCAGCATGGTTGGTTTGATTCTCTTCCCACTCTGTGTGGGAACTGCCCATTGTGTGTTTGTGTGTGTGTGTGTGTGTGTGTGTGTGTATGCTCTGCAATGGACTGTCATCCAGTCCAGGGGTGTACCCCTGTCTCGTGCATTACCCTCTTCAGGAGTAAAGTTATGGATTAAATAGTATGTTGCATATAGCACATTACTATGCAGCACTGTACATTTAATTTATTTTGCAGATGCTTTTATCCACAGCAACATACATTTCAGAAAGCAGGGTCGGTCCCTGCAGCAATTGGGTCTTAAGAGCCTTGCTCAGGAGCCCAATATTGACATCACTCTGCCGACCCTGGCGACCTTCTGATCACAGGCACAGCGTGCTAACCCGCTGAGCCACGCAGTGCCACGGACATATAGTATTACAGATACGTTATTATTCCCACAGAAAATTTCCCTGAAGTACTTGGCTATGATGTAAAAAAAAACAATTTGCATTAGACCTGGGGTACAGAACTCCAGCTTTAAATATTCAAGTGTAGGTTTTGGATTGAATACTGTTCTTTCACACTGCACTAACCTGTCTTTTCCTGTTCAGAGAAAGAGAAATCCCTGGTTGTATCAGGCATAATCCTGCCCCCCCGAGTTATAGTGGGACAAAAGGGCAGAGTAACCATCAGCGTGGAAGGCAGGAGGGTGGACAGGGTGCAGGTTACTTGGTTCCTAAATGACATACCTATCTCAGATACTTCTAAAAGAGCACCAACAGGTACCAGCCTGTTTTTTCTCAAGCTGTTGTAGTTGGACCCCAGGTATATCATAAACAAAGAGCAAAAAAAAAAAAAAAACATTGTCTATGTATATTATCCATTCAGGAGCATGTAGCATTGTTGCTGTTGTTAGAATTTTCCACTGCTGTCACTATTGCAATATTGGCATTTGCTTCTGTTATTTGAGAACCCAGCTGATCACCCACAGGTATCCTGTAGCATCCTCCAGTGTCCACAGTTTCATCATATTATTTTGGCTGCTAGGTTTAACATTTCAGTAGCTGATCTCACTGCATTGTACCATCAGATTAATGTATTTAACAAGTCTGGGAAATATACAAAGGATTCCCTCTATTTATTCAAGCTTAATTCCTTTCATTATCTTCATAAAACTGTCCTACATTCAGTGCATGAAAGCAGAGTTATAACAGGATATGACCGTGACCTTAACCTGAACTTCTGTTTGTCATTTTTGCCTCCTTTGTTTGTGAAAGCCAGACTATAGTATATCTTACATTTCCAGTGTGAATGGAACTATCATCCTTTGGGAGCATCAAATTAAGTTTTATTAGCAATTTGACCTTTAATCATTTTTGAAAGACATTTTACATGAAAATATCTTTGAAGTAATAAGCCCCTGAACCTGGTGAGGTCACCATTATTTTGATCACCTTATGCCTGCTGATAGTGTAAAATATTACAAGTGTAAGCAGTATTTACCTCTATCATCAGTTCATACTTAACGTGCATGCATTTCTTTTTATTTATACCTTTTAGCCTTTCTTAACCTTTCCCCATTTGTATTTCTTTCTTCTTCTCTTTCTCTTGTACAATATATATCAGCAAGTCCTTCTTTTTCTTACCTTCTCTGTTTGCCAGAAAATGAGAAAAATCTATTGCTGCCCCCAAATGGAAAATTTGGATATTACAAGCTACACACGCAGTACCCCATTCCATCAGGAAACAGCCGCACAATGCAGCTCTTCTCATCTGTCACATTCATCCCCGATATTGCTGTTCACAAAGGGGGCATCTTTAAGTGCCAAATCTCCTATAAGGGGAAAGACCAAGTGGTAGCAGAGAAAGTGTCAGACAAGTTAATGCTGTTAGGTAAGAAAAATATGTTCTGTGCTTACAACATAACAGTCTCTGTAAAATTTTACCTGTGTGTAGAGTCTTTGCCACCCATATCCTCTTGACACCTTCCCCGTATGCTGTTTTGTAGTGTTTTATTTATTTCCAGTGCTCTTGAGTCTGGCACTCTTTAGTTTTGAGACTATTCCTGCTTTTTTCAGCTGCCCCAGAAGTGTCAGAGATTAAATTTTCAGAACCAGCGGACGACAGAGGTAACAGCTCACTATCACTTCCATGCGATCCAGGCAAACAATTTTAATCGTGGAGCTTTTGTTGACCTGGAGGTACTACTGGCACATCAGTGTTGGGTAAATGTGCTTTCTAACATTTATTCCTCTCTTAACATTTCCTCCTGAAATCCCTCTGCTCCAACTCCCCAGGTGTTGTCACTCTTACAGTAGAAGCCTCTCGCTTTCATCCCGCCCTCATCACCTTCCGATGGTTTTGTCAGGGGGGAGAGCTCAGCCCCATAGCGCCACCACCGTCGCTCGCCACTCCCCGTCCAAGTATCCAGGGATTCTTCTCTGCTGTCAGCCAGTGCAAACTACCTCTGGAAGAGCTGGAGAAAGGCCAGACCAAGGTGTGGGTCACAGTGCACCACATGGCCATGAAGGGGCCAATCATACGACAGACTCCAGGTGTGTAAATGTGAAATGAGGCATGGGGTACACCATTTTCATTCTGGGAACATGTAGTTTTAAGCAAACTGAGAGAGATCATTTGCAGATGGGCATGATGAAGGATGGACAATCCACATTGTGGTTCACATAACAGGACTTTATTAAAACTCCGAAAGGACACAGGAAACAAACGGACCACAAGGGGTCAAAAAACAAAGTAAATGACAAAACTAAGCCAGGGAGCAACACAGGAATAACAATAGGAAACACAGAGCAACAACTACAAACAATGACCAACTGAGGAACAAAGGCAAGGGAAGGCACATGTATATATGGATAACGAGGGAAAGACGTAGACCAACTGCAATCAATGAACCTAACAATAGGGCTGGGAGCAACAAGACACAGGTGAGAGTCATGATCACGAAGGACTCAAACACTAGGAAAGGGGTAATCAGTGACACCTGCTGGCCAGGCAGGGACTGACACTGACAATCATAGAGCTAAGAGGTTTTAGAGAGAAAATATGCGCCAAAGGTGGGGCCCTCAAAATGACCATCTTATGAGATTCTGTGCCACCCCAGGCACTTCCCACCCCCCAAAGACATGTCATGTTATTCAGTGTAATATGAGTTTGCTGATACAAATCTGTTTGTCGACAATATCACAGTCAGATCAATAGTCTATGCATTCAGAAAAATAAAATAATTTGATAAAACAAAAAAAAAATTTGGGGGTAATACAGCTTACCCAATTTGAGAAAAATGAACCAAAATACAAGTGTTTACCTAAATGATGGTGTATTTCTTTTACAGGTTTCATAAAAATGCCTATTGTGTCTGAGATCTCCTCTTGCCCTGCATACACATCTTCTCCTGAGGAATCTGTCACTCTCCTGTGTGAAATCACGGGCTTTTTCCCACCCGAAATCTCCGTCACCTGGTGGGAAGACGGTGAGCAAGAGATAATGGAGGGCAAAGATTCCTGGGGGCCCTTACTGACCGATGGCAGCACTTACCGTGTGACTGCCACTCTGAGGATCGGACAGCGTGAAACAAAGGTGGAGAGGAGTGAGAGAGATATTGTTTGCAGAGTGATGCACTGCTCTTTACAGGAGCCCATTGAGAAACACTGGAGGCAGAGGCACATAGGTGATTGTTTCCTCATGTTCCTACAAAATGTTATGCTGATTCTGTTTAATTATGACATCACACATCACATTATAATGACGATAAGCCTTTATTTATAGGCGTGTCTCTTCTCTTACAGCCCTTCCCATTATTCCATCGTCACTCTCTGTTCAGTGGAAAACGGGGGGTGTTGGGGAGTTTTCCCTGCTGTTGTCAGGGGGGCACCCGTACGCCACCCTTTTGTGGGCAGCTGGAGGCGCCACTCTGTCTCCCCTCATCTCAACAGAAAGCGAGGAGGACGGGAATGATGGAAGCAGGCAGCTAAAGAGTATGTGTACCCTGGAGAGGAGGACAGGGACAGGAAGGCGCCCTGCGGCAGGTGCTCACTGCATGGGGTCTCCACAGAGTAAGGGGCCCTTCAGTCATGTCATGGTGACTCTTCATCATTAGAGCTAACATTGGCTAGAGCAGCCACCTTGCATCATGCGTGCAGTACACAGGTGTGAGATTATCCATTTAGTGGCATCCGTAATAGATGCTAACATCCTAAAATATGCAATTTAACATTTCTGAATTAATATTTGGAGCCCTGGAATACAAATGTATGTGGCATGTTATAGGGGATAATTATAAGGCATCTGGTTTTTGTAGAGAGAAGTTTCAAATTTGTAGAGTTATGCTTACCCCAGTTTCAAATCTTGAAAAATGCAGCTACAAAGGATGCCACTTTGGATTACAGTCCAATAGATATGAAGCTTATGGATGATGTAGAGCACGTATGGATTAAAAAGACCAGAAACAGACCTGGGACACCAATAGTGAAGCGCGCAACACAGAGAGAAGACGGGGCAGATGAGCAACAGGAAGAAAGGAAAAGAGAGAGTGACCTTTCCCAAGTAAATATTGTCCATATGGGAAAGGGTGAGGAAAGACTCAGGGTAACCGTGGAGATCACTCACCCCAGACTTCCTCTGCCTGTGCACCTGACATGGATGGGTAATTATCAATGCTATGATGATGCTGTGAAAGGAAGAATTTCGAAATGTGCCACTCTCTTAGTGGTAGTAGTGTTGAATCCTTGTTTTGGGGGGTGTTCCTGTGTATACTAGTGTTTTGCCTCTACTTATAGTTATCAAGGCATCCATAAAATGAATGATTGAAGGTGGAGACACCGTAGATTATCCAACATAAGTTTAAATACACATTGTGCTATAGAAGTAGATCCATGCCACACTCTGATTTCCTGAAGTGGCATTCACTGTTGCTGATGTGTTTTTTTCTTTTAGAACCACAGGAGTAATTACGTTTCTGATCTCAGGAACCCTACCAGTTGGGGAACATCTTCCTTGCAGGCTGCTTGAATGCCTATGGATTCCTGGTGCGAATTCTTTTCTCATATAGAGTTACCAGAAATTATGTCTGTGTGTGGATTAGGTTTATATTACACTGTGGGGACCAAATGTCCCCCACAATTGAATGAAAACCTGTTTTTTTTACATTGTGGGGTCCATTTTACAGGTCCTCAGAAAGATCTGTGAATGCAATCAAAAAAGTAAAAATGCCAAAAGTCTCGTATTTTGTTTGGTTACTTATGGTTAATGTTAAGGCTGGGTAGGGATTAAGAGTGTCATGTTGTGATTAGAGTTTTCCTCTAAAAATGAATGGAGAGTCCTCACAAAAATATAATTACAAACCTGTGTGGTGTGTGTGTGCGCGTTTATGTGTGTGTACGTGTGTGTGTGCGCTTGTGAGCAGGTATACCTTACCTTATGGGGACAAAATGTCTCCACAAAGTGATGAATACACGTTTTTTTCCGTTATGGGGACCAGTTTCCTGGTCCCCAAAAGGGAAAACTCAATTTAATAAAAATCTGTAACTGCAATGAAAAAACTAAAAATGCAAAAACTCTTGTATTTATTTTGTTTGGTTACTTATGGTTATGGTTAGGGCTGGGTAGGGCCTGGCTCACAGTCTCCATTCTGATAAGATATTTTGGACAATTCTATGTTTCCAACTTTGTGAAAGCAGCTTGGGCAAGGCCCTTTTCTGTTCTAGCATGACAGGGCCTATGGTTGGTTGGGTGAGTTGGGTGTGGAAGAACTTGACTGGCCTGCACAGAGCCCTGACCTCAACCCAATTGAACAACTTTGGGATGAATTACAGCGTAGACTGTGAGCCAGGCCTTCTCATCCAACCTCAGTGCCTGACCTCATAAATGCTCTCCTGGATGAATAGGCAAAAATTCCTACAGTCGCACTCTAAAATCTTGTGGAAATCTTTCCCAGAAGAGTGGCAGCTGTTATAGCTGCAAAGAGGGGACAAACTCCATATTGATGCCTATGGATTACAAATGGGGGTGGCACAGTGGTTAGCGCTACTGCCTCACAGTAAGAAGGTCCTGGGTTTGGTCCCAGGTCCCTTCTGTGTGGAGTTCACATGCTCTCCCTGTGTTCACATGGGTTTCCACTAGGGGCTCTGGTCTCCTCCCATAGTCCAAAAGCAAGCAGGGCAGGCTGATTTGCAAGTCTAAATTGGCTCTGTGAATGTGTGCACCCAGGGTGGTTCCTGCCTGCATCCATTGTTCCTGGAATAGGCTCTGGTCCCCCCCACAACCCCATTTGGGATTAAGCAGTTACAGGGATGGATGGATTTAGAATGGGATGTCATAAAAGTTCCTGTAGGTGTAATGGCCAGGTGTCCAAATGCTTTTGTCCATATTATGTGTGTATGTATAAATTAACTTTATAGAGTAACATTTATTATAATTGTTTAAAACACGATTTAAAATCTGGGGTCATAAACAAATGAATTAGTGTATTCTGAGCTCAAGATAAAATGTTGCTTATAGACTCAGACAGGGAGCAAGACAGGCCTAAGTAATGTTTCTGCACTACAAGTTACATGCTTTCTATACTGTTTGCATTTAACACAAAGAGGTGTGATGGTGTGAACATCTACTTCCTTTTCCATTATAAGAACAGCCTTAAAGAGACAGAAGCATGAAAAAACACCATAGACTATAGAGCTCACAAGAAAATTAATAATCATGATTCTGAAAGATAAGGAGCCAGTGACAAATGCAAATTTGAAGTTATTTAATCACCAATTATGATAAATAACCAGTACCAAAGATGTAATCCAAGAATTAGGAGTCAGAAAATCTGAGACAATGTCCTCAGGCAGGGGCATCCTTAGGAGTATTTTAGGGGGGCTTTAACCCCCCTAAAAATGTTTTTAGCCTCCCCAAATAAATGTATATTTACTGGCTTAAGTCATAAATCGCTTGCCATCAACCCTCCCTGTAAAGACTCAGCCCCCCTATCTATTCACCTCTAACTACTCCCCTGTCCTCAGATACACAGTAGAAACCTAAATTACTGAAAGAAGATACATTTTGCTTATTCCTGAGCCTTTGGTGATTCTGGCACAAAAATGAAGCAACGCATATAGTAAAAATGATCCACAATAACCAAAATTATAGTAAAACCATCGAAGGCAGGTACTGTAAGTTGGTCATAAAACAATAAGGTACTAGTGTTTGTGTGGGATTGGCATCTGTACCAACTAAGGGACCATGGACAGGGTACAAAAAGGGCAAGATTAATCTCCTTAACAGTTGAATGCTGCACCGTGCCAGTCAGGGCAGGCCCAAACCTTTTCCTTGTTCCCTGAGTTGGCTTTGTCAGTCTGTGAAAAACAGAGCCTCAGTGGTATGAGGTCTCTCTGTGGCCTCTCTCCCCCTTTCCCTGATTAAACGTGGCCTTTCAGCCAATCTGGATGCAGCTGGAAGAGTCTGGTGAGCCCAAAGTCCTGCCTGGAGATTTTCACGATTATTTCACTTAATTGTGCAGGAGTCATTGTTCTGTGGTGTGATGCTGAAACTTTCCAGGGTATCCATTTCCTGTGACAAAAACAACAGTCTGTTACAATAATCAAACTGGTTTTTAATATCACAAAAAATATCATGCATAAAGTATTGGAAGACAAGTAACTGGATGTACATAGTGCCCTCTGGTGGTAATAAATATCATATCCTTCATGAACAGTGATAGCAGTCTTTATGCAAACTTCATCTAAAGCAGCAAGGATCAATGGGAGTTCATAATCTATGTTTGACAATGAGTTGTTCAAAGCTCAGTATTCCATTCTATACAGGAATCCAGGTTGCCATGTTGCATACAGTTTCTCATGAATTAGAGGATGGCATCACGTTCCCTTGAAAGTGGTGTGAAGCACATTACGAGGACAGTTGGTATCAGGCACCTAGAAACAGGACTGAAGACCCATAAAGCAAGGAAGAAGCCCTTCATTAATGAGAAACTTCTCCTTAATGAGAAGCACCGGGCTGCAGTTTACAAATAATATATATACAGTGGCACATTGGTTTGCGAGTATAATTCGTTCCGGAAACGTGCTTGTAATCCAAAGTGCTCGTATATCAAAGCGAATTTCCCATAAGAAATAATGGAAACTCAGATGATTTGTTCCACCACTCAAAAACGTTCATATAAAAACAATTAATACAAAATATAAAGTAAAAATACATAAAACAAATTAACCTGCACTTTACCTTTACAAAGAATCGTGGATGATGAGGGACACGAGAGAGAGGAGAAGAGGAGGGTTATTTGGTAGGACGACTTTCACTATAACTAACGGAATCACTGCTATCTGTTGGTTCACGGGAATCTTTTTCTTTTTGTGCGACTTTAACAAGGAACCTATATCCAATGACAGCCGCTTTTGCCTCCTTTTCGCGGAAATGTGGACATTGCATTGTCATTAAACAGATTAATCGCTCGCACTGCTACACCCTTATTCGGGTGGTGCTTTTCTGCTAAATTTTGACTATACGAGTGAGGCACGCCGACTGAGACCGAGCATGGGAGATGATTACCCACAATCCCACAGCGAGAGAGAGAGAGAAAGAGAAGAACCATTGGCTCAGTTGTGATCACGTGACGATCAGCAGACAAAGCTTATACATAATACTTGTATTGCAAGACCTTGCTCGTTTATCAAGTTAAAAAAAAATTGCTCGTCTTGCAAAAACACTCGCAGGCCAACTTACTCGCAATCCAAGATTTTACTGTACATTATTCACAGACGAACACCCATAAATTGAGAAATGAAACAAAAAATGTTCCAGTGGTCTCAATTTTTTTCCAGAGCTGTATGCATCCCTGCAGCAGAGAGGCACCTGGAAGTAGGTCAATTGCAAAATCCCAAATATATTTTCAAAATGTAAAGCCCCATTCTGTGGGTTCAGCCTGATCTGGGTAGTAAGTGCACATTTGCTCAGAACAAAAAAATGTAATTTAAAATTAGAACACACGCAAATAAAGAGTAACACAATAACTAATCAATATCTCATTGATTTAACTGATTAAGTTAACGAATTGAGTGAGCTGGTGAAATTTAATATATATATGGAGTGGCTGGGATGCTCCTCAGGAGGAATTGAAGCAGTGTTCATCTAGCCATCCAACTAGATATCATTAACTTTTTGGAGAATATAAGAAATTTATACTAGTTCTTATTGTGTTACTCTTAATTTGCACGTGTTCTAATCTTAAATTGTGTTTTTTGGTTCTGAGCAAATGTGCACTTACTACCCAAATAAATAGCTTTAAACATTTTCAATTGACTGCCTAAGACTTTTGCACAGTATTATGTATGTCGTGCAAGAAGCTGCTCGGAACGCAGACAGAAGAGCAGGACGCCAAGAGTCGGGGAAAATGCGGGGTTTAATCGAAGCGCATGCACAAACACAGGCACAGGCACAGGCACAGGCACAGGCAGCAACACAGGTTGACAATACAATGACCGGACTGGGGAAACAAACTCAAACGCGGACTAAATACAGAGGACTAATGACAACAATCTGAAACAGCTGGTAAACACGGGATTCCACACGAGGTTAACGAGGGGGCGTGGCACACGGAAGGAGCAGACAAGCGGGGCATGACAGTGTACACACACATACACACACACACAGGTTTGTAAATATATCTTTGTGGGGACTCTCCATTTATTTCTATGGGGAACACTCTAATCGCATGACAACCATAACCCCTACCCAGCCCAAACCTTAACCATAAGAAACCAAACAAAATATGAGACTTTAATTTTTTGATTGCATTCACATATCTTTGTGGGGACCGGAAAAATGGTCTCATTGTGGGGGACATTTGATCCCCACAATGTAATATAAACATAATTCACACACCCACAGACACACACACACACAACTGTGGGAAAAAATTAAAGCACCACAAAAACACTAATTTCTCAATTTATGGGTGTGCGTCTGTGAATTTTTTATTATATATATATATATATATATATATATATATATATATATATATATATATATATATTGCAAATTGTAGCCTGTTTCTTCTCTATTTCTCATTAAAGAAGGGCTTCTTCTTTGTTTTATGAAACTTCAGTCCTGCTTCTAGGAGCCTGATACGAATTGTCCTAGCAGTGCACTTCACACCTGCATTTCATGACAAACTGTCAGATAG